TACCCCACACCCACAATGTTCCATCTAATTAATCATTAAGCCTGTTCTTGCATATATCTTGATTGACACATACCTTTATATTTATGTTTAAACTCGTCAATTCTATTACTATTTTTTATGTCCACACTTAAATTATTCCATAGTTTTACCCCACTTATGGAAATACAAAATCTTTTTTTGGTTGTACGTATAGCATGAATTTTTAAATTTAACTGACCCCTTAAATTGTATCCCCCTTGCATGAAATGCAAATGCATGAAATGACATTTTATCTGTCTCCTCAAAATCCACCATTCTCCAGTGGCCTCTGGAGCAATAGTAGTTGGCACTGGTACTTAGTGGGGACAGAGGGGAGAACTTCAGGACAGATGTGGAGCAGAAACAGAGGTTAGGGTAGTGTTTGAAATCAAGAGAGCCTGATGTGCAACATCTGTGATTCTGAGATGTGAAGCTTAAAAAAACTAGAGAAAACGTTGTCCCTCCCATGACTGCATATGAGCACAGGCCTAAGTACAAACTACATGCACACGCATTGAGTGTATGCAGTGTGGGGAAAGATGTATGAAATACCAGGCACTGCAAATGATCTTGTTTTAGTCTCCAGCTCTCAATAACTTCTGCTTCCACTGCCATTGCATCTTCAAAAAGAAAGACTAAAAAGAGCCACAATATGTTTGTTTCCATTTTTGAACAATTATGATAACAGCCTCTTGTGCTGCTCCGAATGCAGCTGTTTTGCATGTCCACTTCTGGTTTAGTGTTTTGACAGGAACCAAGGCAGGAAGTCCAATTCAAACTGTGGACATCCCTTTGATATCATGGTGCTTCTGTCAAAAGCCCTAAAAGATTAAAAAAAACAGTCAGCTGGTTGACTCCATGTAATGCTTTGAGTCCTCCAAATGACCAAAGGGGAATCCAAATAAGAGTAAAACAATAATGTGAGAAGCTTACACAGAAAAAAGGTCTTCTGAGCTGTGTGGTGTGGATTTAGCCCTCAGTGGAGACCTCAGGAATGATGTGGCCATTCAGAGCTGTTTCCACTGATGTCTCCTGAACAGCCAAAAATAAACTAGATGGGATGAGTACACTGTAAAGTCTCATTAATAACACACAAATATGATGTGTATATGTAACACCCCACCCCAACACACACACAAAGGTTTAAAGCAATGCCCCCTGTATTGAATGAGATTCCTTTACAACTGAGCTGAGTTGCACAGGCTCAACATCGAACTGCGCCTGACATGGCATGTCACAGATTTCTGACTTTGGTTCTTCTAACGGTGCATCCAGGCTTGTCTGCTCAGATTTCTGGGAAGGAAAAGGGGGCAGGGAGGCAGTTAGGAGACAGAGAGTAGCTGTTTTAAAAGACATATAACAGACAAAGCTACAGTATTTAAGTGCAGAGCTAGGAACAGCTTACAATGACCACTTCCTCTGCGGGGACAGTAGCAGGCTTAGGCTCAGCAGGCGTCACACGTACAGACTCGGTTTGGATACTGAAGGTGTCACTCGGGGCCACAATTTCCTAAATGCAGCAGAGAAAAGAGCAGGTTAGAAAACACTGGCTGAGAATGATCATACAAATGGACTGTAAACAAGTAGACTGCCACCTGGTGGCCACATGCACTGAGCAGCCACTCGTGTGGAAATAGTCTGGAGTTACAGAAGCAGGACGTTAATGAAATTTTTTGTGACCTAAAAACTTGTTGCTTATTAGGTGTAAAACAATAATTGTAATGTCCAATGATAAATTCCCGTTTGTGTAGTAACAGACTCGGCAATGACTACCTCCATTACTGAGAGAATTTCTGTGACAGAGTGATCAACCAGCGGGTCTGCAACATCTTGTGTGGCAGGAGCCTGGAGGGAACAAGATAAGAGAGTAACTCCACATTATAATCACACAAGTCCATACATTAATGATTTGAAGATGATCAATCTGACCATCAGAGCACAGTCTTCAATTTTCACATAACATTAAGAAAAAAATTCTTTAAAAACTTGATGTTTTACCTCTTTGACTTCAGTTCCAGGGGCCTCAGGGACAGTGTCTGGCACCTGGTGAGACAACAGGTACTGCCACGTCATCATTTTACACATCACATGCACAGACTAGTCATTAAAAATAACATGACAATCCAAAAGGAAGGTAATAAGTAAAATGTATTAAAATTGTTATTAACCATGTAATGTAAAAGTAAATAATAATAAATAAAAAAAAACACCACAGTGACTTCCACAGATTGTGTAGGAACATCCTGCTGCAAACAAAACAAATAGCAGGTGGCGGTGCATCTTTAGTCGTTGCTCATAATTTAAAAATGTTATTTATGTAAATGAGGAAATATGTCAGAAAAACAGATGTAGCCATTACAAGTTAAACTTTTTACTACCTGACTTATAATCTACTGATGTAAAAAAAAAAAAAAGATCAAATGATCACACAAAAAAAATAATCAAAAGGTATTTTATCACTTTGAATTTTTGAAAAGATGGAAAACACAAAAAAGAAGGAAAAGAAGTGTTTTCTCAATGTGGCACCTCTGTGACTGTAACAGGCTCAGCAGGCACTTCAGGCGCATCTTCAGCCAACTCTTCATCTTCATCCTCTTCCTCCCCAGCTACAGCTGCAGGACTGACAACCACTTCAGTCACCTGTTCAGGCTCAGGTATCTCTGTGATAACCTCCTCCACTGATACGACTGTTTCTCTAACTGTCGTCTCTGTAGCAGGCTCTGCTCCAGCAGAAGCTTGGTCACTAGCAAGTGCTTCTACCACTGGTTCATGAGCGGCTACAGTTATGGGAGCTGGTATGGAGGTATCTGCTACGACGGACACTTTCACCGCCACATCACTGACTATGTCTGCCTCTGGCAAGGCCTCCACCTCCACTTCATTGTCTGGTTTACAGAGATCATGCATCTGCATATGCAAAATCGACATGGCACATATTAAAAAAACATACATCACGCAACTAAAGCACAGATACATAACAATTTGTCCACTGGAATTGTTATTGGCAAAGTTTTTCTCCCAGGACAAACATACAGTGTAGACAATTACAGTCACTTAACCCACATGACCAAAACTGTTTTATACAGTGGGTACGGAAAGTATTCAGACCCCCTTAAATTTTTC